CCCCCGTAAGATTATGAATTACCTTGCATAAATAGCCTGTAGATTTTCTTTACTCATTTCAGTTAACAGCAAAATAGTTAACATAGTTATACAAAATAGCATGTATAATCACCCCCCCCCCAAAGTTCAGCACAAAGTTACGCCCATGTTATTGCTGCATGGTATATACCGATTTCTGAACAACATCTAGCCAGCATAATTTTAAGAAAAGCATTGCTTATTTTAGAAAGACTATGCCAAACCCCATTCTACCTCTATAATAGTACCCTAGTATGGCTCTGTAAACCTGTTGTTTATTGAAAAAACAGCATTGTCTCTGACAAAGAAGTCTGCAAACTGTTGAGAACCTGAAATTTATCATTCATCAAGTAAGTATGAGGGGGAAAAAAACTTTGTGAAAAGTACAGTAACTGGTCTCCCCCATTGCTGGCATCAATTCATCATGAGCATATATTTTTCATCTTTTTTCAAATATAACTGCTTTGTGTCTTCATATCATTTCTGACATTATTGTGATGAAATAATTCTGTATCTTGGACTAATGCTAGCCATAGCTTGTGAACCTGTTCAACTGTATCGAGTTATTTTTTTTAAAGTTATGATTTCTGTCCAATCAAAGAGAAGTTTGTCAGCTGACATTTCAGTCTTAGACAAATCCCATTACTGGACTGCATTACTTTAAAAATGAATATATCTCTGCTTATACCATGTGTATCTACACTAAAGTGTGAGGTGATGTTTTGGAGACTCCAGACTGCATTGTTCAGTACAGTAAATGTCACTGTGTCAGTGTGCTGTTTGCAGTGCACATCACACCACATGTTGGTCACTGTGATGGATAACAATAGCAGAGCACCAGTGTTGGTAGAGTAACTGTCTGTAGCTGTAATGTAGCAAAAAGAAAAACATAAAAATAAGAAGCGATGGTGAATCTTGGCACTGCTGTGTGCTCTACCTCAGCAGCCTAAAATGCAAAAACTTGTTTTAAACGAAATCAATTTATGCAAATTTTCTGGCAGACTTTTTTGAAATTAAGGCATGCTGCAGCTTTTCAACCTTGTTGTCTGTAGTAAATTAACACTGCATGTATTAATTCAAAAGGAAAATGTAAACAACAATATAGTAGACTTCTTGCACGACATGCTGTTAGTTTGTTATTTTGGTGAGGATATTGGGAACCCCTACAATGAACCTTTGTCATGATTTTTTATTGGGTCTGTGCATAGAAAATGATTAAGCTCATTGTTTTAAAAATCACTATAGCAACAGACAGACAGTATATCATTGTTAACTGACATTCAACTCGTGTTTTTTTTATTTAGGCCACAGTGTGAATGTAGAATTTGCCTTAACCAAGAGAGTTACTGGCCAGCTGACAGTTTTGACCTGCTTCACTTGTCACCATCTGCTTTTCCACCCTGCGAGTCTATAATGAAGCATTACTGTCTTTAGGCATATGCTAGCTGAACAAACTCTATAGAATATATTTGATTTTCTCTCTGTTTTTTCTTTTTAAAGAGAGAGTCATTATGGTAAAATCACCACCCCTCAAAAAATGACCTCCTTATGCATGGCTACTTCCATGTATGGCTTTTGCTAATTTGTGCTTTGAAGAGAGCGAGCAGTGCTTGCTTTTGTTCATATGCCTCTCACTCTCCTCTGATCCTCTCCTTGATTCATCACTCAAACCGCCTTTGCTCTGAGTCTTGGCCCGGGATCAGGAGTGTTTGATGGCAAGAGCAGATGTGTGTGTATATGTTCATGTAAGTGTTGATGTGATGGTGGCAGACGCAGAGTAGGGGCCAGAGGAGGAGTTGTTGACATGCTTGTGATGGGTGTGTGTGTGTGTGTTTGCTGTATACTGTAGCTATTGCTACAGCATGTTTCCAGGGTTCTAGCAGCATGAGTGAAGAGCTGATAGACTGTATCCATATAAAGACGAAAGATAATGAGATGTTCCAATCCACAGACAGTTACTAATGGGTGTTCAGGGCAAAGAATTGGAGGGTTGTTCTGGCTGAGTAGCTGAGGCTGTGGGTGATATTATCACTACAATGTGACCCTATCAAGATATACAAAAGATATTTGTGTTTGACATTCAAAAACCAAACAGACTTTATCCTTTAAAAATTTTCCAAACTAAACCAAATGAATTTTCCATCTCCTTTGAGACACATTTCAGTATTGGGTTTTACCTTTACAGTCCAGCTTGGAGTTATAGCTTGTATTGTATAATTTATAACTCTGGTTGGTCTATTACTTCTGAATACCCACTGGGCTGTCTGAGTAATTTGTTTGTGCATTTGTTACATTATCAGCCGCAGATGTGTGCTGAAGTTGTTTTCGATCTCTTTTTAATGTTCCAGGAGCTAGCAGGGGAGCCAATAAAACGATCCCTGAAATAGTGTTGGCAAGCTGAATATAAACCACCCGCAAGTATCTGAAAGGAGAGTCTGACAGTGTTATTGACCAAGTTGTGCTATCACTGATGTTTTACTGTCTTTTTTTCCCCTCAGGAGACTGCCATTTGACTGAGTGGTCGTCTTGGAGCTCGTGCCAGTTGACCTGCCTGGAGGGGCGGAGCTTTGAAACCACCGGTCGCCAAGCGCGCTCCAGAGCCGTGATTATTCAAGACATGGAGAATCAGGACAGCTGCCCTCATCAAGTCTTTGAGACCCAGCCCTGTAAAGGTACTCGGGATGCCATGCATTTTCCATGCAAAGTCATACCAGCATCAGGTCGCCAGTGTCAGGCAAAAGACGACTTTCTTCTTTCTTCCTGACAGTGACTGTTGACCAAAATGCACAATAATTGATCAGTTAAATGCACCAAATACTAGCAGTTTGGTAACAACTACTTTGTAAAGGATTGAGCTAAGAACATTCAGAACAGCTGCCATATATCACCAATGCTTCCCTCTCCACAGCAGCTCATGTGTGCATTAATGGGTCATTTAAATGGACAAATTCCTTGTTACTTCTGCATCAGAACAACTGATCACAGAGTCTCTCAAACAGCTGATGAATTTACACTGGTCAGTGAAAATTAATTAATTAATACTGCAGAAATATGTTCTTTCCACTACAAATACTGTTAAAAAATAATATTGTGCTATAGTGTCGTATAAAACTCCAACTCCAGATTTTGAAGTTTGCTCTCAAATCCTTTTTCCCTCCTTTTCTTAGGGGTGACCTAAATATTTGTGGCTAAATTCTCAGGTTTGTGCTGCAGTTCAGCTGAGTGCCTGGTGTTGGTTTGATGTGTTGGAAAGGTGTTGTGCCTCCAGCCTCCTCCGTTTAATGAGCATGTTGCAATCTCTCTTTTCAGGACTAAACAGACAAAGTCAGCATTTTCTCTAGCAATTACAGAGCTCATGATCGCCACACCTAAAAATAGAGTAAATATTCTCAATTAGCATTAGCAAGGTAATAAAGACTGTCCGCCCTGAGAAAATAAGTCATTTGTGCCAGCTTCTGTTACATCCTATTGTTTTATTGTTTTGATAGTTAGACCTCTAGCAGCTGTGCAAATAAGTGGATGTTTACATTAATATCATAACTTTTAAACCTGGGAAGTCAGATTTTGTAGGGAGTGACGCAACTCTCGAGCTAAGGGCGTTCCCCTGGTAAAGTCGGAAAAGCAAACAACAACCGGATTTGTTTTGCTTTAGCAAGGTGGAGCCAGTCATGCAACACTAGCAACACAGTGCAGGGCTTTAAAAAAAAATTATTTAACACCATTGAGATTCTATTCTATCTTCATAGATAGAATCTGATCAATTCTCTGCATATGGCTTATTTAGTAAGTAGCAAAGTATCAAACAGTTGCAGCTCAGATTAAAATGTTTTACGGTTTTACTGATCTTTGTGCTCATAGCAGCAATCCTGGATCTTTGAGTCTGGGTTGCTGGGGCTCCTCTGACTTTCCAAGTTGAAAATCTCACTTGAAATGGCTTTCCTGTTTAAAATCTTAACTGGTAACTCAGTTAAACTGATAACTCAGATTCAAATGGAATGCACTAATAGAGAGGAGCCATCCTTAATAGTGCCATCTACGCCCAGACCTCTGGATGTGAACACAGGAGCCCCACCCACCTTCTGTCTGTGAGCGGCAGCCAATCACAAGAAGGTTGGCTTCCCGCTTTTGAACCATAAACTCTACAAAGTTACTCTAGAATACTGCAAGGAAATAAATATGGAGCTGGAAATGAGCATATACTGTAGGCTCCTTTTAATTAATGGTCTCCTAGTCAAAAGTTGTGTGTGTTTGTGCTTCCACCACCACCCTACCTCCCAGCATGTTGCGCTACAGTATGTCTGTGTTGCTTTAACAGCTGGTGTCTATGGTCCTTAAATAGGCATTAAAAAGCAGTTATTGCAGGTTTTAAACTGTAACCAAGAAGCTGAAAAACATGCCCCCGAACCTTTGAACCACTCAAGCTGTTTCTCTTTCACTGGCTTTCAAGTTGACCTTTATTGTCTTCATAAATCTACAGATAAATAAATAAATGTAAGAGAAGATTAACACCATGGCGACATGGAAGGTCATCATTTACTGTGAGAAAAACTGCTTTTTTTCCTTCTGCACACAGTGAATCTGTTACAATTTTCAACACTCGGTATTAAAAACAAAAGCTTCTTATCCCTGAAATGGATCAATGACATGAATATTGCCTACTGTTAAACATTCAGTAAACTTTATGTCTTCTCATAAAAGACAGACAGATTTTTATATGATTCTGTATGTGTGACAGAACTCTTATAGGCCTTTCTGTTCAAGGTAAAAGGCTAAAAGGTGATACTACAAATGGTTTCTAAATGGGTATCTGTGCTGTAGATGGCAGTCTGGTGATTGTAATTGCAAAGTTCTCATTGAGACTGTGTCATGGGAGGTTAGCACTTCAAAATTACAAATTGCAACAAAAAGGCTGTGATTAAACAGTCAGCATTTGAACCATAGAAGGGTCATAAATGTTATTCCACTTATCCAATATTTGATGAAACATGGAGGTCAATGCATTTGACTGATTATTGATTCACAAATTGGAGATATGTGTGTTTCACAAGAGACCTTTGTGACTTAGCTCTGAGTTTGAGTTAAACTGTTAGCAGTCGGACGTACCGCCCACGGGACATTGGATGGTTTAGGGGACTAATAGGACTGCTAAGGGGTTAATGTATATTTATATATAATATATGTGTACATATATATAAAAAACCTGGACAAAGCTGGACTGAATGATAGCACAGAGGCACTAATCATGGCAGCACACGAACAAGCCCAAAGCACAAGATCCATAAAAGCTGGTCACACCAGGTGCAGGCTGCGTGAAGATGCCTGTGAGATAACCCTGCTCATAGCAGCAGGGTGCAATAGAATAGAATAGAATGTCCCTTTATTGTCATTGTACATGTAAAATGAATTTGTGGGTGCTCCACACCAGCTGTCCTAAAATAAAATATAATTAGCAGACAGCAGGAATTAAATAGCAAACAGGAGAAATATAAACGATCAAGGTGCATATAGACAAAAGAGGAGAAATATATACGAAAACAACAGAAAGGCACACATTAGAGAACAAGATGCTAACAGGCAGGGCATACATGGAATGCTATAACCAAGTGTCTGGCATAGTATTAAGGAACATCTGTGCCAAGTATGACCTGGAAGTCCTGAGGTGAAAACAGGATACGCCCCCTAGGGTGGTTGAGAATGAACAAGCTAGGATCAAGTTTCCAGGCCTGGTAGAGGATAGAAGACCGAAGGATAAAGACTCCCCACATCACCGATTTTATATATATATACATAACTACCAGAAGGCAACATTGCAGACATAGAGGACAGTTACAAGTACCTGGGGATCCCGCAGGTGAATGGGAACCATGAAGAGGCTGCTAGAAAGGCTGCAACCACCAAGTACCTGCAGAGGGTCAGGCAAGTCCTGAGGAGTCAGCTGAATGGTAAGAACAAGATGAAGAGGCCGCTAGAAAGGCTGCAACCACCAAGTACCTGCAGAGGGTCAGGCAAGTCCTGAGGAGTCAGCTGAATGGTAAGAACAAGATCCGGGCCATCAACACGTACGCCCTGCCCGTGATCAGGTACCCTGCTGGGGTAATAGGCTGGCCAAAGGAGGAGATAGAAGCCACTGACATAAAGACAAGAAAGCTCCTTACCATGCATGGAGGGTTTCACCCCAAGTCCAGCACCCTGAGGCTGTACGCTAAGCGGAAGGAAGGGGGCCGGGGACTGGTGAGTGTCAGCACCACAGTCCAGGATGAGACAACGAACATCCAAGAATACATTGGGAAGATGGCCCCAACTGACCGAGTGCTCAGTGAATACCTCAGGCAGCAGAAACCCAAGAAAGAGGAGGGAGACGAGGAACCATCATGGAAGGACAGGCCCCTGCACGGTATGTACCACCGGCAGATAGAGGAGGTGGCTGATATCCAGAAATCCTACCAGTGGCTGGACAAAGCTGGACTGAAAGACAGCACAGAGGCACTAATCATGGCAGCACAAGAACAAGCTCTGAGACAAGATCCATAGAGGCTGGGGTCTATCACACCAGGCAAGACCCCAGGTGCAGGCTGTGTAAAGATGCCCCAGAGACAATCCAGCACATAACAGCAGGGTGCAAGATGCTAGCAGGCAAGGCATACATGGAACGCCATAACCAAGTGGCCGGCATAGTGTACAGGAACATCTGTGCCGAGTATAACCTGGAAGTCCCGAGGTCAAAATGGGAGATGCCCCCAAGGGTGGTGGAGAATGACCGAGCTAAGATCCTGTGGGACTTCCAGATACAGACGGACAAAATGGTGGTGGCTAACCAACCGGACATAGTGGTGGTAGACAAACAGAAGAAGACGGCCGTAGTGATCGATGTAGCGGTTCCGAATGACAGCAATATCAGGAAGAAGGAACACGAGAAGCTGGAGAAATACCAAGGGCTCAGAGAAGAGCTCGAGAGGATGTGGAGGGTGAAGGTAACGGTGGTCCCCGTGGTAATCGGAGCACTAGGTGCGGTGACTCCCAAGCTAGGCGAGTGGCTCCAGCAGATCCCGGGAATAACATCGGAGATCTCTGTCCAGAAGAGCGCAGTCCTGGGAACAGCTAAGATACTGCGCAGGACCCTCAAGCTCCCAGGCCTCTGGTAGAGGACCCGAGCTTGAAGGATAAACCGCCCGCAGGGGCGTGCTGGGTGTATATATATATATATATACATATATATTATCTACAAATTATTTTGCCTCTTGATTGTTTTTCTATTAATTAGCTGTTTTTGAAACCATAACAGGGTAACTGTGGGCTACAGCGAATATATAAATTGTCCTAACCTTGTTCTTTATTTCCTTTCCTTTAGTGTTTTTAATCGTTTGTCCCATATTTTAGCACTGCACATTTTCTTTAATACATGACGCTCAAGTGCCTTTCACTGTTTCTCTCTTCAAATCCATTTTTACCCTGTAGCTTCCTCTGGGAAAATATGAGCTTTCCTGCAAAAAAACAAACAAAAAATGGCATTTTTCAGACATTTCCAACCAATTTTGAGATCATTTTCACCACCTTTGTCTCACAGCACACTGCATCAGTTACAAAGGTGCATTTTCTTCCCATACTAAAACCGTAATATGTCTTACCATAATGAAGTTGCAGAAAGGAGTGGTAGTTAACGTCAATCTTGGCCTGACGACAGGTCTGCTTGGCCAACACAAACTGCTAATGAGCGTCGTCTCTGCCTCTCTGCTGTTGCAACAGGAGGAAAATGCCACAGTTACCAGTGGAGGACAGGAGGATGGAGCAACAACGAGAGAACAGTATGGTGTCAGCGCTCAGACGGCGTCAATGTTACAGGTGAACAGTCGTTGGGTCTTCTGGCCACCTTAGATGGGTCAAACAGAATTGCTCCTGGGAAAACGCAGACATGTTCTTGTATAAATATAAATCATATTAATGCAGGCTGCAGCTAAAAGTGCCCCAGTTCTGTTTTTGTTCCCCCATGCTGAACTGAATCATTTTTCAATTCAGTCTGGATCACACGGATATGTGCTACAATATCAGATAATTTGATCGCTCAAAAAGAAATTTGTAAGCGTTGCCATGACAGTAAGTGAATCTGCTTTCATTCATCTAAGAAAGCTATTACACTGGTAATATTAGCAGAGGTGGCTTTAGCAGGTGGTTCAGAAATAAATTTAGATCACGATTTTCTTGTTGGTTCACGAGATAATTGGAAACGAGACGTTGGAAAAGATCTGAGAAGGCTCGATACAAAATCGGATACGATGTCTTTTTGCCTTTGTTAATCATTTGAGTTTATGATAATATACTGTCCATGGGTTACATCCTGTAACAATTATGATTAGCTATTTTACCCCCTCTCAAAAACATCTGATAGTACTTCACAGTCTTCCATTGGAACACATGTTTCTTTCACATGCGTATAAATACACACTCAGAGAAAAAGCATGGCTTTAGTATAGAGTTCTAGTTGAATTTAACACCTTATTTGATCTACCTAGTCTCAGTGGAGCCTCCATTGATTTCTGCCTCTTAACATAAGTAATCAATAAGCCAGACTCTGAGCTGCAAGGCTTTCAATCCATATAAATATAAACGTGCATTTGTATTTGTGGGAAGTAAAGCAGGCGTAGAGAACGAGAACAAAGGTAATGGTATTGGGGGAATGAAAGCTTTAGGCGAGCTTGATGTGCTGTAAATAGTGGTTGAATGTGATCTTATCACTGCTAGGAAGTGTTTTGGCAAATATGAGCCCAGAAGGAATAACCTCCCTCTGCAAAGAAGGCAACAACCTCAGGCATTACTCTTTGATATTTTGACATGCAATTTTCCATGTTGGAATTAAAATGTTCACAGACTGATGGGGGGCTCTGATAGGCAACTAAGCCCATTAATCTGATGTGACAGTACATTAATTTAGCAATCAATAGGTAAAGGAACAGAAATAAGAACACACTGTCTTTCTCCAGGGGGATGTTTCCCACAAAAAAGGCCCACCACGCTAAGACACTGTCATCCTCCGTGCACAAAACCGTTCTCACACTGCACGCCGGTAAGACCATTGCACTTTGATCAGGCAGCTGTGATCTCTGTAATTCTCACTGTTTTTCTTTCTTTTTTTTGCCGTTTTATTTTTATTTTTTTGCTGCCCCCACGTTTTCGGTGGGGAGTTAAATGGATTTTGACAGATGACATTTTTAATTTGGCAGAACAGGCCATTAAAGAATAATCAGATTAATACCAATGAACGTGGGCTCCATGTCAGTTAGAGACTACACCTATGAGGTGGGGGGACTGCACACAAGCAGCATGAAAATGACAAATAATAGATTTAGCTTGAAGTTTTACTGCCCCTTAGAGTACCCCCGTGTTACTGCACCCACAAATGCAACGCTGTGAAATCACGTGTTGCATTTGTTTCAGGGTGCCTGTTTTTAGCCTGACGGGGCGCATTCTTATCCGTTTCCAGATCCGGGAAGCGGTGTAATCTACCCCCCGACGAGAACAATTTAGTGCTGGAAAAAGTAAACCTGTGTTTAGAGTGAGAAATATTTTGTTGAGTAAAACAGAACGGTCCAAATACGTGGCAGCCCATTTGTCAGCAGTGCTTTGCAGTAATTGGAAAGCAACAACTGCAGTCATCGTCAGCTCGCTGTAAATGATGTTCTTCTGGGCTTCTTTCCCCCTCATGCAGAGTGGAGTGTGTGGGTGTGAGAAGGGTTACACTGAGGTGATGACCACTCACGGTTTCTTGGACTACTGCACCAGAACTCCGGGGTTGGACAACAATAAGAAAGCAGATGTGAAAACTAACTCTGGCAGATTAAAACCTGGGCCGTCTAAGGCCAAAGACCGCTACAACGAGTGGACCCTACGACCTGTTGGCCCAGGTACTGAAATGGAAATCATGTGTGCAGACCAACCAGTACTGCTACGACCTTTGAACCTAACTTTGTTGCTCACCGGGACGGGGGAGGAATTTAGGTCCATGTTTTTACACGAATTCATTATATATTACAAGAAAGACAATGTTCAATAGACTTTAAATGCCTAAAACTGTAGTCAGGACTAGCCCTACTTATTTATTCTGAGCAGTGAGGAAAAAGTTCTAAAAGATATTCATAAAATAGATGTAGACTTACATATATTTAAAACTTTCTATTAAAAACTGCTTTCTGATTGCACAGATGGAAGAGTAAAGCTGTGGGTTTACGCCGTGACTGCTGTTGGATTCATCTTAATACTCTTCATTATAGCGTTATCGTTCCTGGTCTGGTATGTACCGTTTTCTACTCGGTGTTCAGTCTCAGAAACAAAAGATTCATTGTGGTTTGTGCGCATTCTGTATGAGAATGGAGAACATCAAGAAGGAAAGCAAGTGTCTTTCCTTGGACAGAACCCTGCCAAGTATGAGTTATAGTCTACTCTATACTTTGTCTGCTGTGTTGCTGTTATCAGATAATGGAATTCTTTGTAAGGACTGAAATCAAGTTGGGCTGCCTTGTGCTACTAAGCCACATGAACTCTTAGCTTTTCTTTCTTGTCTGTCCTTTTTTTTTTCAGTAAGCCATCCAAAACCACTAAGACGTCTCCCCCACCGCAGAAGCCCTTGACCCTGGCCTATGATGGTGACATGGATATGTAACCAGGCTGCTATACCTCACAAGGACACGCTCGGCATCAGACAGCCTGCTGCCTGTGTTCAGATTGTTAGGAAGCACATCCGTCACTTACTGTTTGCTCGGTTTTTGCAATGTCTCAAATAGATCAGCGAATAACAACGATCACACATGATTTGCTGCTGAAGGGTAACAAATCTCGCTAGAGCCACTCGCTTCCTCAGAGAAGAGGAACCAGAGCTGATCAAAGTGAAAAAATGAGACATGGACCTCTAGTTTCTTTTCTTTTTTTAATGCTTGCAACATGAACACACAGTTGAAGCACTATTTAAAACCTGCGAAAGAAGATGAATGCACAGCTGTTGCTCTTGGAGGGTTTTTTTTGTTTTCTTTTTTGTGTGTGTCAAGTATCCGAGGGACATCCTGGTTGACTCGTCAGCAGTCGCTCGTGATATTCAAAGACCCACAGAGGTGGGAGTATTTGACTTTGTCTCATCAGTGGTGGATCTTTGTGAAAGGAAACGTCTCAAGCCTTTTGAGTAAACTAAACAGCCTTTTTTTGAATTTTCGACAATAAACACGATGGTCTATGCACTACGTTAGTGCTGATTCCGTTTTCCTTTCCGATGACTTTTCTAGTGTTTTAATTGTAATGCAAGTTTTTGCTGTCAGATTGTGTTTTGTTGATGATGCCATATGTTGTGTATATGTGAAAACCAAATGCAGGCTTGCCTTGAGTTTAACGATACAATGATGCAGTAATTTCTCCTCCCTTATTTTCCCTGGATTCTCGACCACTGAGGACAAAAATGAGTAAGTAAGTCAGAGCGGAGTAATTTGTACAAAACCAAAAAACGTCCGAGTATTTTGGTGACGAGTGCGGTATCGCACATAATGCAAATTACAGTATGTAATACCAGTATGATAAAGACCATACCTCATATGCAGTGCTTAAAAGTTATTAGACCACCTGCCATTAAAAGAATAATAAGAATAATAAGAATAAATAAGTATTTATTAGGCAAATATAAAAAAAATTCATATTTTTAGATTAAAAAAATCAGAAATTAATGAAGCATAATATTCAACCACTAAAACTAATTTCTCTGTTCAGGAACACAAGGAAATAACTGTAATTTGACATTTTTATCAAAAAATAACAAGCAGTTTGGGGTCTTTTTTTATTGGTTTTTTTTTAACTAAATGTGAAAATTCGTGGATATCAATGATAATTATTTGTCAGCATATAACAAGTTTGCGCATACAGGTCGATTTAACTGTTACAGAAACATCAAATATTATTCTGGTAATTACCGTTACTGTGTAATTAAGCCAGTTGTGGTATGAACCTTTCTATGGGTTGTGGTCTAATAAATGTGTTAAGCACTTTTTCACTAAATGCAAAGCAAGAAAGGACTAAGCATCAAAACATACCGGAGCATAGAGAGGACGAATTATCCACTGGATTACACACAGTGCTTTAACAGAGCAGATGCGCTTTATTTATTTAAAAATTGTCATATTTTAGTGCTTTATTTTTCATCCAAATACAAGGTCTTTTTTTGTTGTTGTTGTTTTTGTACCATGAGTACAGGGCTGAAGACATAAAAGATAGCAAATACCAAATATTTATGAGCACATAATTTAATAATCCGGCAGCTTCTTATTTATTTTCTTATTCTAGTCTTATTTTCTAGCCCTGTCTTTTTTAAAAAATATATATTTCCACTCATAGCATCTTGGTAGATTCGAGACTTTTCACCTTCCTTTTGTGCAATATTCACACAGCCCAGTGGAGAATGAAGTTCCTGGTATTGGCTAATTTTGGCTCTGATCAGAGTTTATGCTGTTTCTCGTTCTGCCAAGACTACTCCTCCTGAATGTATTTTATCGGGAACTCTTTAATCTTAACGGTTGTGCAAATACGGTTGTTACGTGACTGTATTCCAACAGCTGATTGTATGTAGGCATGCTAGATCCATTTTGGCAGAACGTTCTCCAAGTGGCCTTTGCAAAGATTCTGTTTTACAATTTACCGAACATTTCAGAATCGTTTAATTTAGACAGTGTTTCTAATATTTGGCCGATAAAGTGACACAAAGGAACATGTGGAAAATGATGACAAGGATAACGAATAAAAGTAAAGTGAAACCCCTTTCTGAAAACATGACATACTAATTATTTACTGTATTTAAAAGAAAAAAACAGCCTGATTTGATGAGACATCTCTCTGGTTATGTCCCAAAACACTAAAAGTATGTTCACCCATTGTTTACAGCATCATGCTGCTTGTGTTTTTATTGTGTGTACATGGAGAGCTGGACAAAAATGCAAATAAATTGTGAAACCATGTGAAATCAATGCACTGCTTTCTTTCCTCTTTGGTGCACCTTTTTAAATATTTTTTTGAGGGATGCTTTTGTTCTCCTGTGATCTCCATCGGCTCCTTGACTATCGAGTCCTGATAAATTCTAATTACTGATACAGGCTCAGAGGCAAAGCCTAGAATATATAAGCTGCTGATAAGATTCATCTTGCCCTCCAGTCAGATTCCCAGTCTGATAGTCCCACAGGATGCACGCAGGTTGCGAAGGAAACAGTGTTTAAATCTTTTGTCTCATCTAATTCATTTATTTAAGACTGTCACTTTTGTTTAAGAGAAGGTTGAATTCAAATGCTTGTGTCACGGCCATCTGATCTGTGGCAAAGATGTGGGCCGATCTTGTCATGTTCTATTCATCTCATTTTAGTAGCTTTCAAGACATATTTGCACATTTCAGTGGTTGCTTGTGAGCGGAATGAAAATGGCTAGTTTAATTAATTTTATTTATCTATCATATGAAAGCTGGCTGATTCTAATAAAATGCTGTATCCTGCAGTTTGTCAGGGCAGAGCAGAGCTTAATGAATGTTTAGCATCATCAGTGCTTAATGCTTTAAAATAATGAGCATTATAATGCTTTTTATCATTTATTACTAATGTATTATGTGTGAATCTGCAGCCCAGAGGAGTGAAGCAGTTCTTAGAGATATCTAGTTTCTGATATGTTCAGCCTCTCTAAAATAAGTCTGTTAATGTTTTTTCCAGGGAAAAAAAGTCTTTTTAGGGTTTTATGAATGTATTAGGAATCGTCGGCCAGCAGACATTGAAACAAGAAGCCAGTTTCATTCAGATCGTGTTCATTACAGGTCTCTTGACCACCAGTATTCTCCATGCCTTTAGGATAATCCCATCAAGGTTTATATCAGGATCAGGATTTAATTGCATGAGACTCCTCTACAGTCAGTTTTAATCACCAGTGCTGCTGAAGCTGATAAATTATGACATTTCTTGAAGACTTAATACAAGGGCAGCTATCTTTGACTTCACTAAGTTATTTAGTTCGTAAGTTTAGGGGTTGGGGATGTTGGAGCTACTCCAAAACTACTACTGCCTGATTCAGCTGTTTCACTGAAACTAACAATTAATCACTTACATTGTATAGATTTGTCTCGAGTGTGTTTTCAACCATGCTTTAATGTAGTGGCAGCAGAAAGTTAATGTTTTCACTTAACCCATGAAGATGTACCACTCCGTGTCCATCTACCTGCTACACTATGCTTTAGAACAAGAGTTATCAACATCACCTATGAACATTATCTGGATGCTCATTGTAAAGTTGCAACTGTGTAATAAACCAACTGTTTATTAATTAGTAAACATCCAGCCATCTACTGGTATCTGTTTTCTTCCACATATCCAACGCAGGGTCAGTGTTAGGCTGGATCTCAGCTGCTGTGCCTCTCAAATAATTATTAACTGAAGGTAAATTGACAACTGATTAACCATTTATTATTATTATTATTATTATTATTATTATTATTATTATTATTATTATTATTATTATTATTATTATTTAATAATAGGGGTATTAAAGTGTACCCCTATGTTGTAGTGTGGTGTTTAATGTCAAAGCAAATGATTCAGTGAACAACCAAGTAAAAAGTTTCTCTACATTCCCCTAACTCAAAAGTGCATTTTATCCAGTACTTATAACTAAGTGAATGGCAAACTAAAGATTTCTTCTTTTTAGAGCCAATATATAAATCCTTGCACGGTAACACATTCAAGTGAAATGGTGAACACAAAAATGTCAGTGTTGTCATTGCGAACATGTTATTACTGACATTGCTATTTAGCTCAAAGGACCATTAAAAGCTAGATTGAAGAGATGAGCGGCTGACACTCTTTTTAACTATAACCTGGCATCGCGTGCTTCCGATTGTATGGTGGTTAACACGTTCACTTGGCAAGTGAAAGGTCGAGTCCTGCCAGAGAAACAAATTCCCTTTGGGGTTGGAAGGGCATCCAGCTTTCAGCGTAAAACCCTGCCAGATCAAAAATGTGGAGCTACCTGCTGTGGTAACCCCTTTGTTGCAAGGGAGCAGCTGAAGGAAGCTTTTATCACAGAGTACAAAATGCACAATAGTGTGTGTCTTGCTGGGCCTTCTAGGGATAGAAAGACAGAGAAAGTGAGACAGACTAATAAATATTTGGTGCTGAATTTGACAGTTAGGCAGACTGGGTATCTAATTAATCAAGAAGGAGAAGAGAAGGACTTCATGCCAGTCCACCCACTAATCTTCTGACTTCCATTTTTGGTGATTACATGAGCCAGCACACTGAGATCTTAGAGGGTGCAAAGGTGGAACACGGAGAACTGTGAGGTCAAAAAGATGAGCTGGTGCAAGCTTATGTAATTAATAAAAATCCTGGTTTCCACATGGAGTCTCTGAAATAAGGACAAATTGTTGTTATAAGGTCAGTGCTTTTCATTTTTGTCTGACAGCATTATTTAGTTCAAGATGAAATTTTAATCTTCCACAATGTTTTAAAAAAAATAAAAAAAGGATGCAAGACTTTCTTTTATGATCAACTGGAAAAATTTTGAAGTACTGATTTAAATTCACCTCAGTCAGTGTTTAGAGGTAAATGATGTCAAGTAAACCCAGTGAAATGCAATGATTTCTTGGTACATTTGCAAACTGAGACACACAAACCAACAAAGTGATTAGGCTATGTGTGTTGGTAGGTGAAGGCACGATGCTCTCTGAGGAGCCAAGGTTGTAAAATATCACTGCTAAAATGAAACGATTACGTCATAAATGTTGCACTTTCTATCCTAGATCTCATTCATCTCACTACTGCAGCAGCACAGAAAGAAAAATCAACAAACTGACAATAAACACGCTTCTAATCTCATGCACAGTTATTATACTTGTGCTGAAGATGTGCCAATTATCCAACCTGAATTCATAAACAAACCTTTTAAACTTCTACTAATTGATCACAACTAATACAAGACGATAAAAGAACCGAGGATATTAGCTGTGTTAGCGAGTGCACTTACACAACGCTTGCTTACACAACGCCTATCCTTGTGTTGTGTAAGTGACACAATGATGTAAGTGACTCAACTGACACAATAAAGAAGGGCTTCTTTATTATTTTCTAATAAAAGGATTTATTTTATTAGAAATCAAGTCGGTGCTTCTATCTTTCTTGACAAGTTGTTGATCTTAGCCTTGTTTAACTCATTTGTCTTGTTTTCCTATTTAAACACTCTTCATTTGAAGCCAGAGATGAAAAGGCATTTTTGTTGTCTTGTGACAGAGCTACGGTTTACAGGTGCTTTTTAAGGCCTAAAATAAAAGATTTTTTCCAAAGACTATGTGGCAGGTGAAGTGCTGCTTTCATCATCCATTTAATAATGACAGTAATAATATGGTCTACAAATGTTGGGATGGGTTGGGAGGATCCTAGCAACAGAATCTGCTGGGAAAGACTGTTCCACCATTTTTTTAATTTTTATTTTATTTTTTTACATTCCACAAAAACTTTAATAAGAAATAATCAGACTGATCGAATCATCCAACAGAGTCAAATTACTCTGATAAATTTTCTGCAACACAATATGCAATAAACTACACCACAAAAGCATGTTCTTCTTTGTCATATCAATCTGTACTTGAGCATATTCCCAATCAGCTTCATCAATATCTGCATACCTATAAATCTGTCCAAGGCCAAATATTTTTAATCAGTTTCATTTCAAACTATATTCTTTCCCAGCTATAGTGTGAGTCTCATGACCAGGAGTTCAAGTGAGATTATACATGTGGGGAAAATGATATATGGCTGATTTCCAAACCCCAGCTTGTACAAAAGGTAGAATTCAGTGAGTGAATCTAAAGAGCACCATCACCTTAAAGATAAATTGATGTAACCTAGTAACAGTACTCTAGATGTAACCAGCAAACCACAAGGCATCACTGTAAACTTTTAACTAATCAGTATAACCCACACTAAACAGCCTGATGTTTTCATCCAACCTGTTCATGTAACACAAAACCAGCCCATTCATCCAGTCTCTTCTGCTTATCCCTATCCCAGCTACCATAGGGTGATAGGCAGGGTACATAGCAGAAAGTAGAAAGAAACTTCAATTTGTCTTGCAAGACAAACACATAATTTAGCATAATTCAGCATATAGCTCCAATATCTAATTTTCTTATTCCTGAGCTGTTATCTCCATGGCATCACTGGAAGCAACGACAGGCTGCAGCACACAAAAAATTAAAGTCATTCAGCAGTGATATGCATTAGCCTGCCTATCAGATTTAATTACTCTTTAACTGGAAGTGCCAGAAAACTGTTCTGATTGCTCCGAACCGCTTTAACTCCTCACTACACCTTCTCAGACAAGGGGTCACACTGACCAAAGAATGATCTTGTTCAGCTCATTTTAGCTCATTCAGTTATGCAGTTGTTATTAATTGCCTAGATAGTGCGATTGCAGACAATTGTTTTTCATTGCATAACATGCTGATGCCCCCCCCCCCCCCCCAAAAAAAAAAACACACACACACAAAAAAAACACAAAAAAGCAAATGTGCGTCCTTGCAATGAAATGAATATTGTTCTAGTTGTATGTCTGACCACCGGACCTATATTTATTAGCTATAGACCACTAACACCAGCAGCACTCCCCCTCCTCCCCTGTACGCTCTTTTAAAGCACATTAAAAGGGATCTGTGGCATAACAACAGTCTAATTTGAGTTCTAGTCCTGATTCCGGTGTCTGGCAATTCTTAATCACAAACAAGACTTGACATTTACTTAATTCCCTTTCCTTCAAATTAAATGATATATCCTCATTTTCATGCTAAACGGAACCCCCTTTAAAGAGACTTTTACATCATGTCCTACATAACAACTCAGACAAAACTTACTAAAATATTTGTTTAAAGAAAACACAATTATTGACACGGAAGTGCATGGTTATACAACTGTCATGAAATTAGAATAAATGTAAAAATTTCTCTTGTGGTTTAAAAACGAAAAAAAAGCATTTTAGTGTCCAAGTTTTATACCAAATACTTAAACACTATTTTTTCTTGAATGTAAAATAACGACACGGTATTTCTTTTATAACGTAATCTGACAAACAGCACTGTCGCCCTGTGTCCTTTGCACTTCGCTCTGCATAAAGCCAAGCGGAGACGCCGGTGGGAGGGTTTATTCCAGCCGGGCAGACATCCGGACAGCAGTTCTGCACATGTAAGTGAAAACTGCCGTGTTTTAGCTCAATCTTCCTGCTGTTTAACAAATCATAAACAAATATGGCAAAGCTGGCTCTGCGACACATGTTCAGCGAGCAACAGCTGGCTTTCAATTGTTTTAGCAGCTGCCTACGCGTCGATGGACGCAGCAGACTCCCGTGTTTGTGTGGCGTAGTTGTGTTTCCGCCGCAAAGACGCCGACAGCCAAAAGCCGCCGATGATGTACCCGTCCTCACTTCTCTTGCACTTTCTTATGGTCTGCACTTTGTCTATTTCCACGACACAGTTACTCACTTCCCCGCCCGATACTCGGTGGCCACTCTTGGCTGCTGATCAGACTGTCCTTCTAACATCACCCGTTTACGTGGTTTAATTTGAAACCGATGGCCAAGCGTTATATTGTGAACGTTGTTTTAATTCACCCATGAAAAGAAAGGTTTCCTGGTTATTCCTGGAACTTAGTTATATGCTTTGGAAACTTGTCATTGGCAACAGGTGCACGTTTGAACATGCCTCAGGTGACGCAGAGGTAATCCCAGCCCACATTTATCTGGATTTGCGGATCAGTCATTGAATATTTGGTCCTTTAGAAGAGCAAGAAGTCACTGAAGAAATACTGACTTTTCATCTGAAACGTGGCTGTGGTCGAGAGTCAAATCTGAATGTTAATTTAATGTTGGATCAGCATTAAGATATCAGTGAAGCCAAACAGCGTGTCGACACTGGAATAAGACTGATTCATAGGGGGTTTTGTAGTTGACCAGTGAGGCTGAAAAGTCAACAATTTATAGTTGGTCGGAAATTAAAGATGGTTTCACCTCTGCCACATTATTATGTTGAAAAGTCAGCGATTAATGTTGCTGATCCTGTGGTAGACAACATTTGAGAACCCCACCCCAGAGATGTCTTCTGTAAGTGCATCAGGTAAGCATTCAGTTATTTGTCTAATATTTGTGTAAAATGTATTTTTTACCGGTTATGTGTTATGTTCATTGTTACTGTGACAAAGATTTGTGACCGTCACACTGACCAGATACTGAAGTCAGCCTGTTACCTGGTAGAATAATGCTAGCTAGGGTGAATTAGGAAAAAGTTAAGCCCAAATCAGAACAAAGTGTGTTCCTTTCATATTTTTATCATATTTT